GTTGGTATTCTGGCTTAAACATGGGCAGTATTTTTCTTTGTTAACAAACATCACAAAGTCTGGCAGTTGAAGCATGCTGCTAAGACTGATTCTATTCCTAGCCTAATTTTGTAGGCCTCACATATTTTAAGTAATGAAATACACATTGTTGACTGCTGTTAGCTGTGTTTTGGGAACTGAGATGAATATTCTATCTAGATAGTTCAACTAAATCTTCATGATAATCCAGAAAGGTGATTAGTTTTATCACCGTTTATAATTCTGAAATTGTTTTCTGTTACTTTGTAATTCACCAGGTACACATCTAATACTCTGAAGAATTTTTTTACCAAGGTAATCTTGCATATCCAGTAAGTTCCCCTAATTTTTCTAAGTACGTAGATGTAAATAAAGGGAAACTCTACTGAAACAATGTTTTCCCCAGGATAGTCAAGTTTTGATAGTTAAAATGGATGGGTGCAACATACACATAATCAAAGTAACAGCAGTGGTAAATGAGTACTGAAAACATTTTTCTGGTTAGTAATTGTAATAATGATTTAGAATTAAGACCATCCCATGCCGTACACAAAAATCAGTTGCCTTAGATTTGGTACAAACATGAAAAGTAAAACATTAAAAAAAATTGTTTTCTCTGAGAAAATATCTTCCTGAGTTTGTTGTAGGCAAAAAAGAAGCATGTTAAACTGGGTGAAACAATAATGAACATTAAGAATTGGCCTACTTTGGATTTTATTTATTGTTTTAATTTTTAAAAAAATTTTTTGTATTTAGTACAGAGTCTACAGGGTCTCACTACACAGATCAATCTCCTGTTTTCAGCAGGTTAGCGCCACTACACCCAGTCTCAATCGCCATCTCAGCATGCTCCAGGGGTGGGACCAGCATGGCTTGTGGTGCCGGGGATCGAACCCTGGTTCCTGCCCTCTGCCTGTGCAGGCATATTAGTCCACTGAGCTATCTGGCCAGCCCTACTTTGGATTTTAAAACTGGTCTTCAGAGAACACATTACTATGAGTATGAAAAGCCAGATCATAGAATGGGAGAAGATACTTGTAATTTGTACATACAGAAAAGGACTATCTAAAATACATACAGAATTCCTATACATCAGTAGGAAAAATATAGAAAATGAAAAGATTGATAGTATGGGTACAGAAAAACATGTAGAACTGTGCAGACTCTCAGACATTGTTAAGTATATGAGTGCATATTTATATGATAATGGAAAATTTATTTGTACTGTAAATTAAAGTATGTTACTCTCTGATTCATCAGTTCTACTGTAGATTTACATCTAATAGGTGCATAGGCATTCAGTAAAACCCATGAGTAAGAATATTCTTAAAGGTGCTGCTAATTGTAATATCCCCATACTGGAAACAGCCCAAATTTCTTTCATTGGTAGAGTAGACAAGCACATTGTAGCATACTCATTCAGTGGCATATGGTATGAGAGTGAGTGAACTATTATATTACATAGTAATGCAAGTGAATCTCCTGAAAATAACATTGAATGTGATTTAGAAACAGACAAAATGTACAATATTGCTTTTTGTAGTGACAGTGACGGACAATGAGAGGGAGTTTCTCTAATGCTGGTTTGAAGACTGGATATAGCTCTGTGGTAGAACACGTGTCTAGGCTGCCTAAGGTTCTGTGTTCAGTCCTCAGCACTGCAAATAAATAAAGATAACCTTGATTCAGGCATTGATTACACAGATATTTTTACTTTTTGAACATTTTATTGTTATATATTCTTAAGATTTGGATTTTTCTATGTATGTTAGATGTAAATAAAAATTTATGGGGTAAGGGCATAAATGGCTTTTTTGTAACCTTTAAGTATAATTTTATGAATTAGTATTTTTATGATATTTAAGTTTCAAAAATACTTTTTTTCTCTCAAAGAGAGCAGTTTTCTTCTTTTTACTCTCATTCTTATTTTCCCTAAGAAGTTAGCATTTAACTCACTGTTGAAGTGGCATTACCCTACTCATACCTCATAAAGAGAACCTATTCCATCAAAAAATGACTGCATAAAATTTTAGTTACCATGTCAGTGACTTTCAGGAGAAATAAAATTGGGATTAAGGGTGGCTACTCAATGATGTTTATATCACAAAATTACAGTAAACTACAAACTCACATGAGACCAACCTGTAGGAAAAGGAAAAAGACACCCGTCTCTCTCCTCATATAGTCACTCTTCACAGTATTTCCACCAGCACACATGAGGAAGTTTGCCTCACAAACTAAGCACTTCTCCAGCGAATACCAAGTGGGTATCCTGTGATTCACTTCTAATAGTCTGCCTGGAAATATTGTCAGCCCCCATACATTGAGGACCCAATACGGTCTCCCACTTCAGTTGCAGTCACAGGTAGGTTTTTGTGACATTTACTTCTGACCAAGCAGTGGCACATTGGGATTCCTGTAACCCTCATATGAGATTAATTTGCTGCAGCATCTCAAAGAACTCAGGAAAACGCTTGCCTTCAATTTATCCATTTATTATGAAAAATGTTACCAAAAATACAGCTAAGGAATAGGGCAAGGTATGTGGGGAGTGATGCAGAGCTTTCATGCCTTCTTTGGTGCACTAGCTTCTCCATATCTGCATGTGTTCATCTGTCTAAAGCTCTTGAACCCAGGCCTTTGTAGTTTTTTATATAGACACTTCCATTATGTTTGGTGAAATCATTGGTCGTTGATGACTAATTTAACATTTCATCCCTTTTAAACTCCATGGAGGTTGGAGGGTAAGTGAAACTTTCAGTTCCACACTTCTGATCATCAGGTTGGTTCTCTTGGCAACCAGCCCCCATTCTGAGGATATATTCAAGTTCCAACCATTAGTTGTCTTAGTGGCATTTATAGAGGGATATCACTTTTGAGATTCCAAGCATTCTAGGATTTGTGTAACTTGACAAGTTAGAAAAGAGAAATACATGTTTCACATCACATGTGTAGGGTCTTTACACTGACCTATATCCCCCCAGCCTCTCTTTTCTTTGTTTTGGTTTGCTGTGCTCTGTTTTGCTTTGCAGTGCTAAACAAAACAAAACAAAACAAAACAAAACAAAACAGAAACAGGCTCTAGTGACCTAGCCTCCATGAGTTGCATGTATGCCCCACTTTTGCTCATTTTAATGATTTGCATTCTCACAGATAAAATTATGGGTAAAATTGTATGCAATCTTGGTAACTATATACCTACTGTTTCTGCTCGTGCTTTGGCCTAAGGAGTTTATATGGGCCTTGGAAGACAGTTTGCCAATCTTTAATCTACAATAATGTTGATTATAACTATATGGTTAGAGATCTATGCTGTTTCAACTGTCTTATTCCTCTGTCTTAATTCCAGAAAGCTTGAATGATGTTTTTTGTAAATTGGCTTGAGATTGGAGTGATTAAAGCAAGACTTGTTTAGATTTTGCTGCTTGCCCCATAGATGTTATGAATAGTGTGACCATACATTTCAGTTTGCCAGGGATATTTCTGATTTATATTTGTTGTTCCAGGTTGTTTATACCATTGCATGCTATTATTATAATAATTGCTACTAACTATTCCCTTTTATTCTTAATATTTCCCTGCTATGCATGGTATGTTGTATAGTCACTGTCCATGAAGGCTATGATGATGGCAGGGGTACATTAGGGATGGGAATCTAGTAGTCAGTGACAGCTACATCAAGTGTAATTTAAGAGGTTGCTTTCTTAAGGTTTGTTTCTAGAGTTCCCAAAACCATTTAGGTCTTCTAGGACTCAGGAGCTATTGTATATTTATGGTTGTAATTTAATATAGTGAACAGATATAGAGTGAAATTACAAAACCACAGAGTAAAACATGTGGAGGAGTAGTGAGTTTTTAAGTATCTTCTTACTGGAGTACTTGGGACATGCTTAATTCTCCCAGGAATATAATGATGTACAAAGTGTTCCCATCTGTGGAAGCTCATCCTAGTTTATGAATCCAGCATTTTTATTGGAGACCAAGGATATATTGCCAGCGTGATCATGCTTACCTGGACTCTAGACACCCCCCCCCCCAAGAAAAACACAGATACTCACTATACATCACATTCTGAGCACGAACTGTCTTCTCAAACTGATACAATCCCACAATCACTGCAATACAGAAACACTGTTACTGGGTAGAACATTCCAAAAAGTAGGTCAGAACTTAGTTCTTAGCAGCTTGTCAACAGCTGGTCCTGAAAACAGACCAATTTTGGGATAATGTTCAGGGTTTGAAATCACATGTGACTCCACACAGAGTCATACCAGATTTTCAAGCCAGCATTTGAACACAGGTAAGTTGAATTCCAAAGTTCGTGCTCTTTCCATATTTTTTGTCTTTATTCTAATTAAAAATTACTAGCTGTGCTAGATGTAAGAAATTGGACTGTATATAGCCTAGGCTGGCCCAGAACTTAAAATCTATGGTACCTGTCTCAATCCCCAACTACTCAGGTTAAAGGCATGTGCCACCACATCAGCAATTTCTAATAGCGCTATACACACATACACACCTGAAGAAGCATGATTTGAGTATTTTTAAGTTTTTTTTTTTTAAATACAAGTACAGTAGTACTTCAGTTCTCAAACTTACTTCTTTCCGTGATTCTGGTTGTAAACTGAATTGCATGAGATCCTAATCTAAATGTGGAAATTCGATTCAAGACCAGAATCCTGTAAAGAATTAAGTTGGTGAACTGAAATCACTATAATGGTGTTGTAACATCCAGCTAGTTATGCCAATTTTTAGAAAAATGTTTTTACATACTTATATACTAAAAAGTAGCTTACCTGAAGAATAGTCTTTTTTTCATTCATTTGCATGTAGTAGTTCTTAGTTTTAAGAAAAATGTAAGTTTTGAAAAGATGAGAAAGTTTTAGTTCTCAGTTAAGAATTGCCTGCCTTATAGATAATTAATTAGATTGCATTTACACAGTTCTCAAAATTAATTTTTCCTTTTTGTTTCTTTCCCATAGGTATTTGTGGAAACATTAGACAAATGTTTTGAAAATGTCTGTGAACTGGATTTAATTTTCCACGTAGACAAGGTACAGTTTCTGCATTGTCAAATCTGTTTTCTGTATAAGCAAAACTTTTTTGTTTTGGTACCAGGGATGAACTCAAGACTTGGCAGGCAGGCACTGTGTTACTGAGCTGTCTCCCCAGCCCAGCAAAACATTTATTTGTAGTTGTCAGAGTAAAGGTAGACTTAATGAATAATGCTATTTTTATTCCTTCTCTTATTCAATTAATAAATTATTTTCACATGAGTGTTCGCGTTCTGTCCAATAAGTTTCACCACTGGCAAGGCAATATTTTCCTACCTAGTTCTAACAGTGGATCATTCAGGTATACATGACCATTTTGTAGCATTTTGACTAGTTAAATATTTATATGCATTATTGTTTTTCTCCTTATCTAAAACCAGATCTTTGCCCTCTACTTATCATTTCTTGCTCCACCTCAGTGTCACAGTTTCCTTGACTTACATGATCCAAGTTATTATCTGTAGCCAAGTCATCTGATAACTCTCTTTCAACTCCTCCCCAAAATTGTAAAAGCAAATTCTCATGTCACATTTCACTGAATTGGTCTAGTTGTATAAGAAAAATCAAAAGAAAGTATTTAATAAAGAAGTTAGAGATACACAAAAATCTTAACACAATGTACAAGGTGAGTAAAAACTCACCTTGATACTTTGACACATGTACATCCACATTGCTGTTTTTCTACCAAGTGAGTGAATATAAAGATTGTTTCCTGTAGTCCCACAGTGCGGCTGTTGAGACACACAACTGGCTACTGTCATGCTAAGGTAAATACTTTCATTAGAAAAGTATGATGGGGCATCTGTTAGAGGAGCCAGGGTTAGAGGAATAGAATCAGTAGAACATTATGTGTTACTTATAACTGTAGCAAACAAGTTATCAGCCATGTCTTCTAGGAGCCCTGATTACTTTTAGTGTGTAATTATTTTATGTATAATTAAGGTATTTATTAGATAGGCATACAATATCAGAGGTGGGATAGTCATTCCACAGTGGCTATTTACATGATGGGGAACTATTAGCTGCTCAGGTGAGGAATCTGGAAGCCTTAAAATAGGGATTATAGATACAGTGCTGTCCAAGGAGCTATGCAGACAGTTGTTGGTCTGACTCCACATTAAAAGGTAGAAGAAAGTAGTCTGGTGTCCTCAGTATTAGCCATCATAACAAGTTGATGGGAAGTTTAGTGCCAATGAAGGAAAAAGAGAAAGCTGTTGCTGTATAAATAAAAATCCTCATAAAAAATTTGTGCTGGTTAAAGTATAAAAGTGATTTAGATGATTTTTAAAAATAGAATTTTGAAAGAGGAAAAATTATTAAGATTAATGCTTTTAGTGGATGTCTATTTTTTATTTTAAAGAAAACAAAATGATGCAGGGGCCAGGGGTTCGATCCCCGGGCCTGCTGTGCCAGCCCCACCCCCAGGGTGCGCGGAGATTGCAGTTGAGACTGGACATGGTGGTGTGTGCCTGTAATGCCAGCTCTTGGGCGGCTGTAAACAGGTGGATCACTGTGTGTCTGATCTAGTAGTGAGACCCTGAACACCCTGTAGACCCTTCCCTAAAATACAAAAAGAAAAAAGAAAATTTCAAAACAAACTGTGGGAGAGTAACAATGGTTAGTATGTTGCATATTGTTACCTTCAGAGTAGCTGCTGATATTACAACATATAGACAATGGGTTTAAAGATAAGATATTTTATAGTCATGGAGTATAGTTGGTATTCATTTGATGAATTCTTAATTTCAGAAGGAGAAAAGAATAAGACAGATTCAGTATCTACCTCTGAGAATTTTGGGGAATTAGTGTGATACCAGTATGCAGACAAGAGTCACAACAGAATAGATAGAAATCTACATCTAAATTATTGATAGTAAAATTACAGAAAGAGCTTTTAAAAGCATCCAGAAATAAAAGATAAATTACCTTCCTAGGGGTGATGTTAGATTGGCAACTGATTTCTCACTAGAAACAACAAACATTAGGAGACAGTGTGTTCAAAGAAAATAACTGCCAACCCATAATTCTAAAATGAACCAAAAATATCTTTCAAGAACATAAGAAAAATACATTGTCAAAGAAACAGTAAGAGAATACCAACAAAAAATCTCCAGTGAAAGAAACTCTAAGATAGATACTTTGATAGAACAAGATCTGACATGAAGGAATATACTGAAGGAATGAAACATAAAGAAAATGGTAAGTCTATTTATAAGGTAGAACAAAAATGATGAATGTTTGTTGGTATTTCTGGAAAGGCAAAAGTGCAGTATACATAGGGGTAAGGAGGGTATGAACCCACAAGAGAGGCTGAGCAAAGGAACTAGGAATGTTGCTGTGATTTTAAGAGCTAAGTGATTCTTACTGCGAGTTTCTGAGTTTTTTGGTTTTTTTTTCCTTCTTTTTTTTTTTTTTTTGGTGGAACCGGGGATTGAACTCAGGCCCTTGCGCTTGCCAGACAAGCGCTTATTCTACTGAGCCATCTCCCTGGCCCCTTGGATTTCTGTTTCCGTATCTGAAGTTTAATGGATACCCATTAGCACTGGGTTTTTTTGAACTTGTTTCTCTTTGAATTAGTAACAATAAGGTAATTTTACTATATTATCCTATCACTTACTTGACCTTTAATCAGATTTCTGTACATTATGACTAAAATTAATTAGCTTTTTTAGTTATTTTCATTCACTGCAAGGAACTGGATTGCTTGGCTTTGAATTGGTTGTCATAGGAGTTACTTTTCTTTGAAAACAAATTTGTGTACTAGTAAATGTATTTTGATTAAGTTAGATATATTCTCTCAGTTGTAACAAAGCTTACTGTGAGGGTTAAGTTATGTATATAAGTATAGCGTCCAAACATTACTGCTGTCTGGTAGCAGTAGTGTTACTTAGCACTTCTTGTTTGATTTTTGTTTTCTGGGAAAGATAATTTTTATAAATCTTTCTTCAAAGTTTGTACCTTTCTATTCTGAAAGAATCTGTTCAAAGTGAAAGAAAAACTGGAATGAGGAAAAGGACAAAAGAAAGACGGGAAAAGGGTATACTTATTTATATATATAGGCTTGTTTGGATAATTGTACTGCTGATTTCTATGAGTTTATTGAAAGTAGTAGTTAATGCTTAATTTTTTTATTTTTAATTTCCTATAACTTTTTAAAAATTTTTAACCAGTTCTACATGCTTATGTCTGGTAATCTGAATAACTGATTTGAAGATAGCATTATGCAATACAACAGCCATTGTTCAGTTCTTGTGTTTAGTGAAATTCTGTATCATTTCTAATGTGGTTCTTTTTACTATTTTTTACACTCTTTTAAGAAAAATTGTACATTTTCAAAATGAAGGTAAGACTTATGAAGTGAAAAAGTTTGTATTTATAGACTAGTTTTTAAATCATGAATTATGAGGGCCAGCCAAATAACTCAGTGGATTAAAGCACCTGCAAGCAGGCACAGGGGCCAGGCATTCAATCCCTTGGCCTGCAGGGCCGGCCCTGCCCCCAGGGCTCACTGAGATGGCAATTGAGACTAGGCATGGTGGTGCGTGCCTGTAATCCCAGTTCTCAGGAGGCTGTAAACAGGTGGATCACTGAGTGCAATTTAGTAGTAAGACCCTGAACACTCTGTAGACCCATTTCTTAAAAAAAATACAAAAATAAATAAGTAAATCATGAATCATGGAGAGAAGTGGAAAGAGAAGGGGAATTAAAAAGAAGTAAGATGTGTTATGTGCATGTACCAGCTGCCAACAGTGAATGCAGTTATATACAGCAAATGTGCACTATTAAAAAAGTGAAAAAGCATGAACTGCGTTTGCATTCCATCTTATAAAAGAATGAAAACTGAATAATATAGTAATATATTTAACCTTTAAAAAGTTTTTCTTAAAAAGTGCCTTAAAATACCTAAGTACTATGCTAAGCACCTACATAAATTATTCATCTAATTATTAGGCTAACCCTATGAGGTACCTATGTTATTTCTATACATAGTATATACAGTTTCCCTGTTTTTTAGGTAATGTAACAGGTTTAGGTGCTGTAACTGTGTAAAATCATATAAGTAATAACTGTCACAGTCAGTATTCATACTAATTTCAGTCTGTACTTTTAATTTCATATTACTTAAATTATAGCTGAAAATACTATCCTATAAAACCTATTTCAGCTCTGAATTGGTTTGTGTCCATAAGTACTCTTTTAAAAATCTTCATTATATGTTTTACTACAATAGCAGATACTATTAGTCATTATCAGATGTATTTATGTTAAAAATATGTGGTTATACAATTGGAGAGATGGCGGACTGGTAAGCAGTAGAGAAAGAGCCTATTTGAGAGTTATTGTACAGGCATTGGAATGTAGCATCTTAGAAAAGAGGAGGGAAGTGAGTCCTTTGGACCCAGAAAGAATCTGAGGCGTGAATTGAAACTCACAGAGAATGAAGAGAGAAACTTCAAAAAAGAAACAGTAGCTGACAGTGCCTTTCCCTAAGATGAGATTCACTGTGAGAGAGGAGCAATTCAGACCTGGGGACACACAGTATTGAGGAGCCTCCATAGAGATAAACAGTAGTGGAGGGGAGCTCTGGATGTGAAGGACTGCACTAACTGGGGGTAAGTGTGGAGGGTTCAGTCATCCTGCCTATGAGTATGATTGGCTAGGAACCACAGAGGGTCCTGTTGAACTCAGAACTTAGAGCAGCTACCATCTCCGTCTGTTGGCTCCTAACTGAGCTCAGGCTGATAGCTGCAGGCTCAATGAATCTAGTCTTAGCCAGAAGGTGTGGTCCCCCTGAGATTATCCACTGTCCTGCCAAAAAGCTTCTGCAGGCTTACTTGGATAAGTCAACACAGATCAGGACTCTGTCTCTAAAAATTGTCTACCAATAGGGGACAACCCACTTGGGCCTCCCTCCTGTCCCTCAGATAGGAGCTTTATTTCTCCCCAATAAATAATTCTGCTCATTAAAATAAACAAAACCAAATTGTCTACCAGTGACA